CCTAGCAGTTCAAAAGCAAGAAAGTGCAAGTAGATAAATAGGTACCACTTCAGTGGGAAGGTAACAGCGTTCCGTGCACCTTGGTGTTTAGTCATGCCGGCCACATGACCACGGAAACATCTTTGGACAGCGCTGGCTCTTTGGCTTTGAAACGGAGATGAGCACCACAACCCTAGAGTCGGATTCAACTGGCTTTCGAGCAAGGGAACCTTTACTGTAGCCCATTCTAGCGCCTGCCTTCTTCCTTGAGTGGATTGCTTATTTCGCACCCTGCTTATTTTGATGGATGCATTGATCTTCCGATTTCCTTTCATTGAGTGCAAGGTGATTCACAGCTCAGGTTATAACTATGATAGGATACAGTGCAGAAGGGGGGGGGACTATGGAAGGGGAAATGTGCAACTCCAGGGGCTCTCAGATCACCTCCATTATTGCTTGCTTTTATTTTATTTATAGCCTGCCTGACTTTTTTTTTAAAATACAAATTTTTATTTTAGTTTTATAATATACAACTTTACAACAACATAACTCTAAAGTAATTGTGAGTTAAATACAATCAACAAGAAAAAGGAAAACAACAACAAAACAATCATAAAGGCTATTTTCTAAACCAATTACAACCAAAAAAGGACCTTCTGGTATTACATAAGAACATAAGAACATAAGAGACGCCAATGTTGGATCAGGCCAAAGGCCCATCCAGTCCAACACTCTGTGTCACACAGTGGCCAGAAATACCAGTGCCATCAGGAGGTCCAGCAGTGGGGCCAGGACATTAGAAGCCCTCCCACTGTTGACCCCCCCCAAGCACCAAGAAGACAGAGCATCACTTGCCCCAGAGCCCCTAGCTATACCTTGTGGCTAATAGCCACTGATGGACCTCTGCTCCATATGCTTATCTAATTCCCTTTTGAAGCCATCCATGCTTGTAGCACCCACCACTTCCTGTGGCAGTGAATTCCATGTGTTAATCACTCTTTGGGTGAAGAAGTACTTCCTTTTATCCGTTCTAACCCGACCGCTCTGCAGTTTCATGGAGTGCCCACGAGTTCTTGTATTGTGAGAAAGGGAGAAAAGTACCTCTTTCTTTACCTGCTCTTTCCCATGCATAATCTTATAAACCTCGATCATGTCACCCCTCAGTCGTCTTTTCTCCAAGCTAAAGAGCCCTAAGCGCTTTAACCTTTCCTCATAGGGAAAGTGTTCCAACCCTTTTATCATTCGAGTTGCCCTTTTCTGCACTTTTTCCAAAGCTATAATATCCTTTTTAAGGTGTGGTGACCAGAACTGCACACAGTATTCCAAATGAGGTCTCACCATTGATTTATATAGGGGCATTATTATATTGGCTGATCTGTTTTCAATACCCTTCCTAATAATCCCCAGCATAGCATTGGCCTTCTTTATTGCAGTCACACACTGTCTCGACATTTTCAGTGAGTTATCCACTACAACTCCAAGATCTCTCTCTTGCTCAGTCTCTGCCAGTTCAGACCCCATCAATGTGTATTTATATTTAGGATTTTTGGCTCCAATGTGCATCACCTTGCACTTGGCCACATTGAACCCCATTTGCCATGTTGACGCCCACTCGCCCATCCTTGACAGATCCCCTTGGAGTGCCTCACAATCCTCACTGGTTTTCACCACCCTGAACAACTTTGTATCATCCGCAAATTTAGCCACTTCACTGCTTACTCCCATCTCCAAATCATTAATGAACAAGTTAAAAAGCAGTGGACCAAGTACTGATCCCTGCGGTACCCCACTGCTTACCACCCTCCACTGAGAAAATTGCCCACCTACACTCACTCTCTGTTTTCTATGAACTAGCCAGTTTTTGATCCATAAAAGGACTTGTCCTTCTATCCCATGATTTTTGAGCTTACTTAGGAGCCTTTGATGAGGAACTTTATCAAAAGCTTTCTGGAAGTCAAGGTAAATAATATCTATTGGATCCCCCTTGTCCACATGTTTGTTCACCCCCTCAAAGAACACTAACAGGTTAGTGAGACAAGATCTTCCCTTACAGAAACCGTGCTGAGTCTGCCTCAATAGGTTTTGTTCATCTATGTGCCTACTAATTCTTTCCTTAATAATGGTTTCCACCAATTTACCCGGTATCGACGTCAGACTGACTGGCCTGTAATTTCCCGGATCTCCTCTGGAACCCTTTTTAAAGATGGGAGTGACATTAGCTACCTTCCAATCCTCAGGAATGGAGGCAGATTTTAAGGAAAGATTACATATCTTTGTCAGGAGATCTACAAGTTCACATTTGAGTTCTTTCAGAACTCTCGGATGTATGCCATCTGGGCCTGGTGATTTTTCAGTTTTTAAGTTGTCTATCAGTTTTAGGACCTCCTCTCTCATCACCTCAATCTGACTCAGGTCTTCCAACACCCCTCCTGAAATCAGTGGTTCTGGAGTGGGCAAGCACTTCTCATCTTCCACAGTGAAGACGGAGGCAAAAAATGCATTTAGCTTCTCAGCCATTTCCCTATCATCCTTCAATACTCCTTTTACCCCTTGGTCGTCCAAGGGCCCCACTGCCTCCCTGGCTGGTTTCCTGTTTCTAATGTATTTGAAGAAAGTTTTATTGTTGGTTTTTACGTTTTTTGCTATATGCTCCTCATATTCCCTTTTTGCCTGCCTGACCTCAGACTTGCATTTTATTTGCCATAGCCTGTGTTCCGTTTTATCAGCCTCACTGTGACTAGCTTTCCACTGCTTAAAGGAATTCTTTTTACTTTTTACAGCCTCCATTACTCTGTTTGTTAACCATGCAGGCTTTTTCCTATACCTGTTTGTGCCTTTCCTAACCTGCGGAATATATATTTTTTGAGCTTCTAGGATCGTAGTTTTAAATAGATCCCAAGCTTCCCCAATTGTTTTGACCCTTTCTACTTTTCCTTTCAGTTTCCTCCCCACGTGTCCCCTCATATCAGAGAAATTACCCCTTTTAAAGTTAAAAATGGTTGTGTGAGTCTTTTTGGCCAATTCTCTATTTGTACAAATGATGAACTCAACAACATTATGATCACTGTTTCCAAGCGGTGCAATCACTTTTACATCTCTCACCAGGTCTTGAGTGTTACTTAGGACCAAATCAAGGATCGCCTCTCCCCTGGTAGGTTCCGTGACCATCTGCTCCATAGCACAGTCATTTAGAGTGTCTAGAAACTCAATCTCTTTTTCCCGACTAGAACACATATTGACCCAATCAATGTGTGGGTAGTTAAAATCACCTATTATTACACAGTGTTTTTGTCTAGTTGCTATCTTTAAGGCATTCATCATTTTATAATCCTCCTCTATCTTTTGATCTGGTGGGCGATAACAAACTCCCAGTGTTAAGTTTCCTTTTGGCCCCCCTATTTCAACCCATAGAACTTCCAGAAGCGAATCCAATTCACTTAGCCTCTCAATCTTTCTAGACTTTATACCCTCTCTGACATACAGAGCTACCCCACCTCCAACCCTTCCCCCCCTATCCTTCCGATATAATATATAACCGGGAATCACTGTGTCCCACTGATTTTCCTCATCCCACCAAGTTTCAGAAATACCCACAATGTCTATTTTTCCCTCCGACACCAAGCACTCCAACTCCCCGATTTTACCTCGGACACTTCTAGCATTTGTATAGAAACAGCTGTAATTTCCCTTACAAGTTAAGCCTGCATCCTTCCTCTTGCTATCTCGAGTCGTTGTCCGGCAGTCCATGTCACCAGCCATGGCCTCTGTGGACAATTTCAATCCACCTCCCTGTAGAAAAGCAACCGGTACCCCCTCACCTCTCTCAGATGAGCCAACCCGAACCAGAGACTTTTCATCTCCTGTCGGCTTTCCCCCAATATTCAGTTTAAAAGCTGCTCTGCCACCTTTTTGATTTTAAGTGCCAGCAGCCTGGTTCCTTCTCGGGACAAGTGGAGACCGTCTCGCCTGTACAGCTCCCTCTTGTTTAGCAGATGGGTTATGAGGGTGGAATGACAGCCCCCACAGTGGAATGACAGCCCCTGGGGGTAGCAGGAGTGTTCTGGGACTGGAATGACAGACAAGCCTCAGTCCCAGAACACTCCTGCTCCCACCAAGAGCTTTCATTTGTCTCTGGGGACTGTCATCCCAGTCCCAGAACACTTTTGCTACCCCCAGGGGCTGTCATTCCACTGTGGGGCCTGTCATTCCAGTTCCAGAACACTCCTGCTACCCCCAGGGGCTGTCATTCCACTCTGGGGCCTGTCATTCCAGTCCCAGAACACCCCTGCTACCCCCAGGGGCTGTCATTCCACTCTGGGGCCTGTCATCCCAGTCCCAGAACACTCCTGCTACCCCCAGGGGCTGTCATTCCACTCTGGGGCCTGTCATTCAAGTCCCAGTAGACTCCTCCTACCCCCAGGGGCTGTCATTCCACTGTGGGGCCTGTCATTCTACTCCCCAGAACACTCCTGCTACTCCTAGGGGCTTTCATTCCACTTTGGGTCCTGTCATTATACCCTCAGAACACATCTGCTACCCCTAGGGGCTGTCATTCCACTGTGGGGCCTGTAGTTCCAGTCCATGTCCAGTGTATTTGGGACCAGCGACCTTAATGGAAATTCCATTCCGCATTTTCTTTGCAACTCTTCTTGAGCTGTAATGTATTTCAATGGAGCCCATTCAAGTCAATTGGCATTCCGGGCTCCCATTATTTCCAATAGGCCTTCAAGTCTCTCCCATTGTTTTCAATGGGCAATCCTGTCCTTCCTTTTAGTACATCCCGTTCCGTCTCTTTTATGCAGTATGTCTGAACTAACAGATGGCTTGTAAAGAGAAAAGGTAACCTCACATTACTAGCTAACCTCAAACTCACAACCTTCATCTCAGATTTAGCGGCAGCGACGAAAAGTTTCGTCAGAGCGAGGCATGCCGGGATTTGTAGTCTGAGCTCGTTACCTGAAGCGTCAGTTCCTCAAGTCAAAAGGGAATGCTGGGAACTGTAGTTTGCATTTGGCGTCGGCTTCTCCCTCGCTTTCACTCAAGCCTGGACCATGGCGGCTGTGGCCAGTTCAGGCGGGCGCTCCAAGGTGGCACCCAGCGTGGATTTCGATCACAGCTGCTCGGATAGCGTCGAATACCTGACTTTGAACTTCGGGCCCTTCGAGACGGTGCATCGGTGGCGCCGCCTCCCGCCCTGCGACGAGTTCGTCGGGGCCCGGTGAGGAGACTGAAGTGGTTGGGAAGGGGGCGAGGAAGCGGGCTCTTGGGGATTCGAGGCGACTTGTAAGGTGTGCCGTGATGGAGAGGGCTGAATCAGTCTGTTTTCTCTTCCTTGTCCTCCCAGCCGCAGCAAGCACACCGTTGTCGCTTATAGAGATGCTATCTACGTGTTCGGCGGAGATAATGGGTGAGTCCCGAGTTGCTTCCTTTATACTATATACCCAGCGTCGCCTACGCAGAAGAACAAAGTTGTCATTCTACAGAGAATAGTAACGTTACTAATTTTTCCCCACTCACCCTTCGTTGAACTCCTTTGGACAGGGCTCTTTAACAAAGTGCCAAGCAGATATTTCAACAAGTGAAGCTTTCCCGGTATTGGATGGACAGTGATGGAGAGAGCTTCACTTGTAGAATTTTTGCCCGTCATGCTGCTGTTAATAGGCACAAAAGCCCAGGTGGTGGAGGAAAGGGCCGTCAAGTCGCAGCCGATCTATGGTGATCCCGAAGGGTTTTTCAGAGCAAGAGATGTTCAGAGGTGGTTTCCCATTGCCTTCCTCTGCATAATGAGATTGGGCTAGGGTTTCCCATTGCCTTCCTCTGCATAATGATAATGAGATTGGGCTACCCTGGACCGTGCTGGGGTGGAAATGGGTGGCAAGGCAACTCTGACCGTGCTGGGGTGGAAATGGGTGGCAATTGTAAACAAAGGTGCATTCTGTTCTTCTTTAATACTGCTGAGGAGCAACTATCTCACTCCTGCACTGATCACAAACCCAGGAGTTGGGGGGGGGAAAGAATCAGAGAGAAAGAGGCTCCTTTAAAAGCTATATATCCCAAAATAACGTTTTCAGCATGCCTGTGCGAATGGATGTAATAGTAGTGTGATTCAAAAGGAAGCTGGGGGTGGGAATAGTTCTTGGATCCTTTTTTTTTTTTTTGGATCCTGGCCTTTATCTGCAGAAGACTTATGGGTTGAAAGGACCTGTTGAGGCTACCTTGGAGATGTTTAAATGAGGTTATGTTGTTGTTTTGGAATAGCGCATTACAAATTAGTAACTGATGTCAGCATCTCGTTTTTGCTGGAAGTGATGGTTGATTTCCAATAGTTAAGAAACTGAAGAAAAAGAGTTAACAGTCTTGTTTAGGATCTTCATTGATTCAGACTTGTGGTAAGAGTACAAGACTGTACGTGCAAGTGGTTATGGCAAGGGAAGCTCAAGCCCCTCGGTTTGATCGTCAGCACTGGCAATTTGGGGAATAAAGTGCTATTGCACATCCAGCTTTTTTTCAGCCTCATCACTTCTCTACTCTGTTCTAAAATATGGGGTTATTACCATTAGGCTACATTATACTCACATTGCCTCAGTCCCCATATCCTGAAAAATGGGTATAATGTTGCTCAGCCTTGTACCCACACTTGTCTGCAATACGGATCTAATGATATTGGATGTTTTATTTCTTCCTTGCTAGCTTTTAAACTGCTTGTAAGGCTTATATTTTAAAAATTCAAGCTACATCTTTTTCACAGAGGTGTTCTGGATCTGAGCCAGTTTGGTGTAGCGGTTAAGTGCGTGGACTCTAATCTGGGAGAACCGGGTTTGATTCCCCACTCCTCCACTTGCAGCTGCTGGATGACCTTGGGCAAGCCATAGTCCTGTCAGAGCTGTTCTTGAAAAAGAGCAGTTTCTGTCAGAGCTCTCTCAGCCCTACCTACCTCACAGGGTGTCTGTTGTGGGGAGGGGAAGGTAAAGGAGTTTGTAAGCCACTCTGAGTGAAGGGCGGGATATAAATCCAATCTCCTCCTCCTCCTTTTGACAGAGAAGGGACTTGTATACTTGTTTCTCTTCAGTGAGGAGGGGGATTTTTTTTTTTTGCCACCAAGTCACAGCTGACTTATGGTGACCCCACAGGGTTTTCAAAGCAAGAGATATTCAGAGGTGGTTTGCCATTGCCTGCCTCCACATCATGATCCTGGTATTCCTTGGAGGTCTCCCATCTAAATACTAGCCAGCGCCGGCCCTACTGAACTTCTGAGATCTGAGGGATTGGGCTTCCCTAGGCTGATGAGGTCAGGGCGGGGAGGGGGATACAATGCTGTCAAATCATTACATTGATAACTCCTAGATTTCCAAATGATCTCATGGGAGCAGCTGTCATTGTTACTGCTGTAATAAGGGATTTTAAAAACCTTGGGAAATGGGGTCTGTGAACAAAATAACTGTCTCTTGCACCCACTTCTGTAAAACTCAGATGATGAAGGAGAATGTGCTGGCAGAAAATGATGTTAATAAATCATCAGACCTGCATGATAGAAATTAAGGAAATGATGGAGTTACTGGCAAAGGGTACATTTTTAGATTAAATCTGTACAGAGAAGATGGAGATATTTGTTCACTAATGCTGACAAATAGCATGAGGCCAATTAGTCAATAATAATAATACTGTTTCAACTAAAATAAATGTTTTGTCTTTGAACAAATCAACATAAGAGTGAGTGTATAAAGTATGTTTATTAAGACGTATACGTACCTTATACAAATACTCTAGCCAATGTGAATTAAAGTTTTAACTTTCTTTCATTTTGGTTTCAAAACATTTCCTTTCACTCTCTGCCACTTGTCTTTGTTAAAGGCAAAAAGAAATGGATGTGATTGTTCTTACACTATAGTTTATATTTCTCGTTCTTCACCTTATAAAGTTCTTCTTGGTAACAAGTAATCTCTGTCAACAGTACTTGACGCAGCAGACGTCAAGAGATGATAGGCTGTACATACCTATTATGGATATCGGTTTTATGTTTGAAATATGAATGTAAAATTCCTAACTTCAAAGACACTATACTATGTATCATTTGTAATACTAGTTATTTATACTGGAATTTTACGTTATTTGACTTTTGTTGTCACCATCAATAAAATAAAATATAAATAATAAAAAAAAGATATACTTGAGTGCCTGTAAACAATTTTTTAATAAACCAGTATTCATGTTGTAGCTGTGTACAACAATGTGCCATCTTTCCTTTCTCCTGCAGAAAAACAATGTTGAACGATCTGTTGAGGTTTGATGTGAAGGACTGCTCTTGGTGCAGGTAAGACAGTATTTCCAGTACCTATATAAAATATGTTCAGTTGAGATTTGTTGGAAAAAAGAATAACAGTATTGCAACCCCTCTGTCTCTCTCAGTTTAAACATCAGCACACAAACCGAAGGAAAGAATTTCCTTCTGCTAAGCTCCAGAGCTAGGAGCAGCCAGTCACTTTGCTGTTTACCAGAAAGGCAGAGAGTGAGGTTTTTCCACTGGCCTGGTTGTCCTGACGGCCACCAAATTCTTCCTTCACTGGGTAGCCAGTCTGCAGGAGTGAGAAACAGTGAGGGCCTTTCTGCTGGCCTCCTGTTTATATCATATATTTTCTTGTTAGTGCCTTTGGTTTGTTTTTAGTAACACTGATGCACTTTGCATGTCTAATACTGCAACACATGTTCATACAAAATATTCAAGATGTATATTCTCTGTATATGCCTCAAATAGTGCGTAACTTGACTCCTTAGTCAAGTAGAGTAGGGCCAATAGGACAGTGAACAATACAATTTTCAAAAATCACCAGAATACCAGTACCAGTATTTGTCTCTATATTTATTTATTGCTTAGATTTTTATCCCACCCTTCCCTGCATGCATACAAATAAAATATTATAAATCCCACACAGGGCTTTTACCACAGGGACCCCTCCAGCACCCAGGTATCATCATTCAGCAGTGGTCTATGGGAGCAGCATGTTTGTATTTGGTAAGTTATCAGAAAGCTACCTCATGTTCAAAGAATATCTTCAATGTCCTACCGGACGGTATAAGAGTCCCTGTCAAACATAACCCAAACAGTATAAGATTTGTCACCTTCAGTGTCAGAAAGGTTCCAGTTGAAGAAAATTATTATTGTAATTTATTATTATTTTTATTATTGTTGTTACTTCTGATAGCAAATTTGATGGGTGTGTGCCTATCAGTGTCAGAAAGGTTCCAGTTGAAGAAAAATATTGTAATTTATTATTATTATTATTATTATTGTTACTTCTGATAGCAAATGTGATGGGTGTGTGCCTATCAGTGGGGAAGAAAAACAGTGCTATTCATAGACAACATAAAAGTGTCTGTTTATTTGGGGGGGCTCCCTAGATGCAGAAAATATCACTTTGTAATTAAAAACAACAACAAAAGATTACATCCCCCCCCCGCATAACATACCACATGTCCCTATGACGACTGTGCATGCTTTAGAAAGCCCAGAATACTGAGGGCACTTGAGCATCGGTTAAAGGTTTTGGGTTTGCCGAGAAAGAGAGATGGAGAAGTTGGCCAGCTCAGTCCTTTGAAATATTATGGCATACTGAAAAGAAGTATTATGGCATGCTATGGAGTGAGTAGGAGCTGCGGTGGCTCAAGTGGTTAAGACGCTGAACTGCAGGCTGTGGAAGGTCAGTAGTTCAGCAGTTCGAGACCCGGGTGCCGCATGATGGAGTGAGCTCCCATCTCTAGTTCCAGCTCCTGCCAACCTAGCAGTTCAAAAGCAAAAAATTGCAAGTAGGTAAATAGGTACCACTTCAGTGGGAAGGTAACAGCGTTCCGTGCACCTTGGTGTTTAGTCATGCCGGCCACATGACCACGGAAACGTCTTCGGACAGCGCTGGGTCTTCGGCTTTGAAACGGAGATGAGCACCGCAACCCTAGAATCGGATTTGACTGGCTTTCGAGCAAGGGAACCTTTACCTTTTTATGGAGTGAGTATGCTAACTGCTCTCAGAATGCTGAGAGCAGGAGTCAGTTGAGAGGGGAGAATCAGAGGGATATGGGGAAAGTTGCCTGCTCTGCATCTTGTGATGGGGGTTTCCTAATTGTTTAGGAATTTCATGACTTCTTGCAGACCTCCAGCTTGTTTGCATACTAATAATCTAAATAGGAAATGGTGTTGTTCAAGGTCCTGAAGAATTGCCTTCAGTAAAATGTATGATTTGCCTAGGAAGTCTTAAGTGAGATTGCATCTTTCTCACTCAGTAGCATTTTGAGCTCTCATTATATTCAAAGCTGGACTATCTCCACGGTTTCCAGCTCCCAGCCCTCAGCTTGATCAATCCATGGCTGATCTGGGTGGTTAGCAAAGAAGCCTTGCTGCTTTGATTCCTGTCCAGTGGCTGCTGCCCCATCAGGCTTGTGGGAGGCTTGTCTAGGTGAGCTGCTCCCTGCAAATGTTGAAAGTGAAGTGCTTCATCATGGCTGCAGCTTGACGTGCCAGTTGGAGAAATAGGTCAGTGACTCCCCTACCTGTATCATTTCATTGGGGGGAGACTATCAACAGTTGACAGTAGAACTTCCCTTTCCCTCTGAATTCTGCGAAACATCCTATGTGCTGCTGTACTGTTGTTGTTATCCAGGTGGCTACACTGGAGACATTTATTCCAATTCCAATTTGAAGAATAAAAATGATCTTTTTGAATATAAGCTTGCAACTGGTCAGTGGACTGAGTGGAAGATTGAAGGAAGGTAAGAACATCAGTCTTTTTAAGGAACAGAGATGGATTCACACAGCATTAGTTATTCTGGGAATATGATTGTTTAGACTTTTTGCCATATCCTGTTCTTAGCTTCTGAACCAATAGCTATCAAATGTTAATGATGATGCTTTTTCCATTCAGTGGCTTTATGAGGACTGAGTGTGCTCCAGAAAGTACAGAATGTTGAGTTGTTAAAGGCAGAAAATTGGTATGGTTGGAAGGCAACCAGGATATAAATGTGTATGTGCACATACACATATATGACGTGGGAACCCGCAAGGACTTGCAGGAGGCATCTTATTTTCCGTTCCTCTACTATTTCCTTTTTTCCTTTCCTGAAAGCCCCCATAGCTTCTCTGCGTTTCCTGCTTCCTTCTCTTCTCCTTCCTTCCTTCTAGGGTTGCCAACCTGGAGAACTCTTCAAATCACAATGGATCTCCCAGCTACAGACATCAGATAGGGTTGCCAGCTCCAATTTGGGAAATTCCTAGAGACTTGGGGGTGGAGCCTAGGGAAAGCGAGGTTGGGGGAAGGAATTAAATTTAGCAGGGTATAATGCCATAGAAACCACCCTCCAAAGCAGCCATTTTTTTCCAGGAGAACTGATTTCTGTCATCTGAAGAGTAGTCGTAATCCCGGGTGATCTCCAGCCCCCACCTGGAGGTTGGCAACCCTAGTTCTCCTGGAGGAAATGGCTGCTTTGGAAGGTGGAGTCTATGGCATTATACCCTTCTGAGGTCCCTCCCCTCCTTAAACCCCACCGTCCCCCTACTCCATCCCCACAAACCTCGAGGAATTTCCTGACCTGGAACTGGCAACCTGCCTCCCATCTTCCTCCCATCTTCTATCTGCCTCCCATCTTCAGCTATATATTTACTTCATTTATACCCTACCTTTCTCCACCAAAGCAGCTTATATTATTCTACTTGTCTCCTTTTATCTGCACAACAACCCTGAGAGGTAGATTAGGATGAAAGTATGTAACTGGTACAAGATCACCCAGTGAGCTTTAACGGCAAGATAGAAATTTGAACCTGGGTCTCCCAGACCCTGCTCTGAAGCTTTAACTGCTACACCATACTGGCTTTCATAGGGTGGCTGCTGTTGAACAGTAACACGCAGCCAGGCCTAATTGAGTCATGCAAGTCAGGTGGTATCAAATCACTCTGCAGCTGCTGCCAGGCCTAGGATTGCCAACATCTAGGTGGGACCTGGCAACTTCCCAGAATGACAACTGAACTCCAGGTGACAGAGATTTGTCCCCCTGAAGAAAATGGCTGCTTTGGAGGGTAGACTCTATGGCATTATATCCAGCTGAGGCCTCTTCCCCTCCCGAAACCTTGCCCTCCTCAGACTCCAGGCACTTCGCAACTTGGAGATGGCAACTCTAGCCAGGCCTGGCCTCAATACGCCCTCCCTCAAAGGCCAAAATAGGCCTGAAAAGGGCTTTGCCCCCTCCCACTGCTTTTTACTGACAGAACAAGCTTGGAATGCTGTGGTTGCCTAGCAGTGGCCACTGATGGAATCAGTTGCTTAAAGCTACAGGTGCTCTGGGGTTGTTTTTTTTTGGGGGGGGGGTTAAATTCCCACAATGTATTTTTTTTTTAGATTTCAGATTTTTATGCAAACCTGGGCCACTTTTCAGGTTTGTAGAAATATCTGTCTTGCCCATTCACAGCTCCAGTCACCCGATTTAAGTATCCAAAGATTTGGCTGACTTTGCTATTAGCATATAGACAAATGGGGACCCGCAAGAAACTTGCAGGGAGGGTACATTCTTTTTCCCCACCCTTGCTACCTCCCTTTCCCCCTTTCTCAAATAATCTTCCAGCCCTTCTTTTCCCCCCTCCCCTTCTCTGACAATCTTACCCACCTCTCTTTCTCTGCCAATCACCAATCACCCCCATATTTATCCCCCTTACCCTTCTCGGTCAATAGTCCCTCCCATCTCTCTCCCCCTCCCATCTTTACCTTGACCTCTTCAGCTGCAGGCTGACTGATTAGGAAATGGGTTGTTGTTGTTTTTTTAAAGGATAGCCGAGCTGATGACTACAGAGGTGTGCGAGTGGAAGCTCGTTCTCATCTCCATCTCTGTAGCTGCTGGCTCAGCTGCCCTTTTAAAACTTTCTCCTGGATTCTAATCAGTCAGACTTCAGGAGCTGGGTGGGGGAAGGAAGCAAAGTGTCCTCCCCCCTCGTGCTGCTTTTCCCTGAGTTCTGGCTTAGAACCTGGGAGAAAGGTTTAATAGGGCAGCTGAGCCAGCAGCTACAGAGACAGGAATGAAGTAGCCTCCTCTCCCGCCTGCACCCCTCTGTCACTGCTGCCTGCCACTTCTCCTCCCCCCACAGCAGCAGCAGCTGTGGGGGGGGGGCTGTCCCAGCCACCAGCCACTTTCCTATCCCATCACAGTGACAGCAGCAGGGCCCCTAGCAGCTGGCAAGGCCCTCTGGTGCTGCAGTGACAGCATCTGTGGCAGGGTCCTCTTTAGGGAAATGCTCTGTGCATGCTTAGAATAATGTTTTTATTTTGGGGGGATTTAAAGTCCCCCCAGTATATTTTTTATGTTTTTAGATTTTTCTGCAAACCTGGGTTTTCCTACAAGTTTGGAGAAAAATCTCCTTTCTCTCAGTGTGGGCTCAATCTTCAGATTTAGGTATCTGCAGATCTGTCTACACTTGATAAATAGATATATAGATGTGGAGTGACTTTACTAAAGTTAAACAGATACTGATCTGGTTGTACCTGGATGAAAGAATACCTGAGAATTGCATATGCATTGTCGTGTTTTATGATGGATGAAAGATTGGAGATAAATGTAGTAAGCCAGTAAAGAAATTTGCATCATCAAGTGAGGTGACTGGTAGGTCTTTTGTTGTTTCAGACTACCAGTTGCCCGGTCAGCCCATGGTGCAACGGTTTATAGTGATAAACTCTGGATCTTTGCAGGATATGATGGGAATGCACGGTAGGTAGATTTTTTGTGGTTGTGATCCTAATTGCTTTGCTGTTGTCAAAATTCAAATTTCAGTTTTGATAAATACAACAAAAGTGTTTTTCTTAGAGAGGAAAATATAAATTGTTATGCTACCCACCCCCATTGTCTCAATACATCTCGTGTTGAGACCTATAAATATAGTATTTGGTTTGATAATGGAGATTGCAGTTCTCTTAAGTCATTTTTTTTTACTTCAATATCAGGCCATGATGACATTTAGAAACTCAAGAATTACTTAATCTGAAATGTTTATCATTTGTTAGATAGCTGAAATGAATGTGGGGAAGCACAAAATCAATCCAAGTGAGAAAGAGTTCTCCACTGGGAAGAAGATACACAGATGTTATACTTCAGCATGCATTGAGGGAGCAGCTCTAACAAGTTTTAGGACACAAATCTTGGTGGCTAATTTTGCTCCATTGTTCTGGCAGTTTAAATATAGGAAATTTTAACATGGACCCATCAGATAGATCTCTAAAATCTATCAATTTTATCTTGTAAGCACAAAATATGGAGCTGACACTAGAGAGAGCTGTTTTCAAGCAGCTCATTTTTGAACTAGATTCCAGTGGGAGATAAGCTCTCAGATTCTGGCCTTTCACTTCTGTCTTGTGGGGGGATTCAGGGGAACTTGGAAGTTCGGGGGGGGGACGACAGGGACACTTTCTATTTCATCTGCAACTTGGTTTGTTGGTATGGAAAGCAGAAATGAGTGGGTTATCTCATCTTCTTCATTGGAGAAGGGTTTTCTGTAGAGAAGATTTAGAGGCCCTTCTTGTTGGCGAGGAGACAGAAATCGAATAGAACAAAAGAATGCTGCAGTGAAAAACTGTAGAGCTGTTTTGTGAATATTTATTGTCAAACTAGATACAGGGCAGAGAAAAATACATAAGAACTTACCACAGTTGCCTTAGTTTGTACAGCAGTCCCTTTTACATAGCTTGCTTGGTGCATTTGTGGTATAATGTGTTTGGAATCTCATGGGGAAGAAGCAGTGGGGGGCAGCATTATAGAAGAGGAGAAGTGACAGGCAGGAAAAGAATTAAGTGTTTCCTTACTGTTCCTTGTGGACGGGGGAAAGGAGACTATTGCATGCAGATGTGTATAATCTCAAGTTCAACATTCATTCCATTACCAGTGGGAAGAAATCGTCTTCCATATATGAAGGGATTGTAGTGTGATTCCTGGTTAGAACTTGACTGTTAGAAAAACCCAAAATATTTTTAATGTGTTGTCCTTTTCCCATTTTAGGTTAAATGACATGTGGACCATTAGTTTACAAGACAGGGAGTTAACTTCCTGGGAAGAGGTAAGAGTGGCCTGATTATTATTTTTTAAATTGGTATTTGATCTAGATATATAGTCACACAAAATTCCATGGTTCTTGCAGTGGCTATTAACTAGTTTTACTTCATAAAGTAAGAAATATTGGGGTAAATGTTTTTCAAAAAATGTTATAGAGAAGCTTTTTACCAGTGAAAACATTATCAGGATCCAAATTCCTTGCTTTCTCACATAGACAAGTCAGAGCATAGGTTTTTTTTCCAGATAGGTGAAAGCGGTTTAAGAAAAAGTTATTGTTTGTGGTATGTATGCTTATCCCACTTGCATCTCTGATAAATAGACTACTGGTTTTTGTATCGTTTTAGAAAGCTAAAAGAACCTGCTAGATTACTGGTAGGAGTGGGACGGAAGAAATGTATTTGAACTCCACAGGAATCAGTGTCTTTTTCAAGCAACTGAACCAGAAACTACTGTCTGTCTGCAGTGGCCTAGATGCAAACACCATATCTACCTGTCTTCAACTTCAGTGCATTGGAAAAATGACTCATTAGAAAAACACTGGAGTCAAGATTAAAAAACAAGCGTTCCCCAGTATGTCCTCAGGCACTGATGTAGATTCCTGATGGTCCTCAGTATTTTCTTTAGTAAAGCAGACTTGCACCAAGCGGGGCTGTGTACTGTTCAAATTTTAATGCTCATTTAAGATTTAAGTCTCAGGTTCCACAAAAGTTTGTTTGACTGGTGAAGCCATAACATGGTCTCCATTGACACCTTCCCAACACTAATTCTTTTGCATTTACTCAGAATTCGGAGCATGCAGAAGTCCTTCTATTGGCTTCAAAGTTCAGCTGAGTGACATGATAAAGAAAGGGGGAGGAAGGATGTCCCTCATGGTATTCAGCATGGTTTATAGCTTGAACTCAAAACAAATATTGTCTGTATGTTTTCAAAATTTCCTCACAACTGTGAACATTGTTAAAACTAAAAACTTTTTAGATGGTCAAGAAGCTGAATTCTACTCTGCAATAATTTTAGGTAATCGAAGTATCAGTACAAAGACATTAACATCTGAGCTGCTACCCTTTGCTGACTAGATTCTTGTTCTCTAACCCAGTAATTTAAGACAAGGACTTTACAATTTCACAGAATCATAGAGTTGGAAGGGACGTCCAGGGTCATCTAGTCCAACCTTTCTTCAGCCATGCTTGTGCATGCAGTAGGATTTGGGGGGGCTTTTTATTTTCAGTAGCAGGCCCCCATGCTGTATCACAGGATGCTTTCAAAACCCTCTCAGGTTTCAAAAGCCATGTGGTGCTGCATTTTGAGGAACACAAGCCTAAAATTGAATGCATAGAATGAGTTGAACAGTTCTTTGTATCCCAGCTAAGGTTTGCATCTAGGGGAACAGTGAGTGGGTCTCTGCTGACAAAATAAATCTTTCCCGCTTTCCATCTTCAGCCACCTGTGCCATTAGAAAATTTGCTGTTGCCCTTCAGGAACAATGTGGGGTACAGCATGGTAGGGCTGCATCTCAGTTAAAAAAAACCCCCAAACCAGGCAAACTGCAGATCCCGCCTTCTGTGAGCAAAGAGATGTCTTCTGCTCGCAGAAGGGCATCTATGGTTCCAGCCCAGACAGCCACTGTGGGTAGTGGTTGGAGTATCAGACTAGGAACTAAGAGACCCATGTTCAAATCCCCCCTTTGCCATGGAACCTTGGTGAGTGACTTTACGCTACCCTCAGTCTATAACCTACCACACAGGGCTGTCGTGAGGATAAAATAGAGGACAGAAGAACAATGTAAGCCACTTTGGTTTCCATTGAGGAGAAGAGTGGCATATAAATAAAGTAAATTAAATAAACCCACTGTTGTTCCAGCTAGGTTGTACTGTAAATAAAATAAGATATTGGTAAAATGAGAATTTGGGCACATTTCTAATTGTGTGTTTTGCTAAGAGTGTGGTGTTCGTATGCATTTGGACAGTACGGAGAGAATGCAATGGATTTCAAACTTGAGATTGAAAGGAGCAATTATTTACCCATCTACAAGTGCGCTTCTAGGTTTTTTGCATTTCAAAGTGAAATTTTTATAATTTTCATTATTGCTGCTTTTCAGATTAAACAGAGTGGCGAGATTCCTCCTTCATGCTGTAATTTTCCCGTAGCTGTTTGCAAAGAGAAGATGTTTGTCTTTTCTGGCCAGAGTGGAGCAAAGATTACCAATAATCTATTTCAGTTTGAATTCAAGGAAAAAATGTGCGTGCCAAAAATAACTAAGCAAAACAGTATTGTTGCTAAAATAAAGAAAAAACTATCCCCAAAATAGTTTGAAATACTTAATGTGATTTTCATAAGGTGCCCACAAACAGTTTTGAAGTTCAATGGAGAAAACACTGAAAATACTAATAAATCTGAAGGATGGAGGGGAAAGGCTACAAAAATGTATTAGAATTTTTGCTGTTTATGCGCATGCAGTTGCAGTATATGCCATGTATCTCATACGCATCTGCTACAGTCAGCAGAATAGATCAGAGGTGGTCTTGCAGTTTCCCTCATATTGCAATATCTACTTACATTGTTTACAAAATCTGTTGTATCAGTGCATCCAATATAGAAGGGGCAGAAAATATTGTATGAAAATGATAATTTTAAGGTGAACACCCCCCCCCCAGTTTTAAAGTACTTTATATGCCCAAATCATAGAGATGATAAATTAAACTCTTCTTGTAACATATGTGTATAAGGAGTATTTATACAGTTAGGTATATTCTGGTTTGTACTTTTGTGTTAGCTGAGTTACTGAAAACTCATTTGTAGCTACTACTTGTTTTCTCTGTTAGTTGGACACGAATTCCTACTGAGCACCTACTACGGGGCTCACCTCCTCCTCCACAGCGGAGATATGGTCACACGATGGTTGCCTTTGATCGCCATCTTTACGTGTTCGGTGGAGCTGCAGACAACACATTGCCTAATGAACTTCACTGCTACGATGTGGACTCTCAGACCTGGGAAGTTATCCACCCCAGTCCAGATAGTGAGGTAAAGAGTGCTGACTTTGATCAATTCTTTATTTCATTTCAAATCTCACTTACCTGATACAGAACAGCCAGTTGCATGTATTTGTACGTAGAAGGAGGAATCTGAGTGGATAGTGTTTCATATCTCCTGTAATGTAACAGATTGCTTTTCCACTAGGTGGTCAGAACAAACAGGTGGATTGCGTCTTGATTGGGAACAGCTCTGACACTCTTTTTGTTGCTTAATATCCTTAGGCAAAGAAAGACACTAAATTCTCCTTTATCTTTTATAGACATGCTCAAGAGAGTATTTAAAGGGACTACCCTTGTGTTTGTTTTGGTCACCTGTTGTTTTTTTCCCTCTGCCTTTTTCCTTTCAAAATTGCTATCTGAAATTATGATTATGCTTTGTAGAATTCTTCATTTGGGTAAAATTATTATTTCTATCATTTTCCAGTTGCAGAGTACTAGAGTCTTGTTTTTTTTCCCTAGGCACAAAGTTTTCTGGGACAGTGTTCACAGTCACTAAAGGAAGAAAGAAGAGAATACAACATACTTTCCAGTAAACTTTATGTGATGCACACAGTATTCATTTTAGTGTTTTTTCCTTTCAATTTCTAGTTGCCAATTGGAAGGCTCTTCCATGCTGCAGCTGTCATCTGTGATGCAATGTACATCTTTGGTGGGACAGTGGACAATAACATTAGAAGTGGAGAAATGTATAGATTTCAGGTAACAAGCTAAAAGCTTTGGTATTTTTAGACTAATTGTAGATTTAAATGTTTTTATTTACTTCATTTAAAATATTTATGCCCCACCCTATCTCCTCTGACTGAAGGCAGCTAGCAAGGCAGTAAATGCCGCAAGGACACAGGAATCCTAAATATCCAGCAACTAGTTAAAAACCAATTAATACAGTTAAAAAACGCTAGTTACATGACAAAACTTTGCTGCTAAAACCTGAACAGTCACCTTTTAAAAGTTCTGCCACATGCTAAATTACAGTGATAAGGGTTAATCAAATTAACTTCAGAAATTACATAAACATTTTGAACACAATTCTTAAAGAACTTTTTGGAAGCATTGTCCTGTGATTGTGAAGTCTGTGTTATGAGTGTATCATATTCCACTCCCTGTAGAAAGCCCCACAGAAGAAAGTGTTAGAGCTTGGTTTGTAAGGCTGGAATGAGCTTGTCCTACATGATGGTACCTTCCACAGGTGACAAAGATGCCCACATCATCAGTACACACTGCCTGTTCTTACGTGTAATAGGAACGTCATGTTTATTTCTGCTGTACCTAGCTGACTCATCTGAACATCATTAGTGGCGTATCTAACCTTCTACCTAAGTATGTGCTCTCAGCCCCACCTACCTCACAGGGTGTCTGTTGTGGGGAGGGGAACGGAAAGGAGACTGTAAGCCGCTCTGAGACTCCTTTGGGTAGTGAAGGGTGGGGTATAAATCCAATCTCTTCTTCTTCTTTATCTAGAGTTGTTCCATTTAGTTGAGTTGTATGGACCAGTATGGCTGCTCACAAATTTATTCCATGTACGAATTGGTGATGGCTGAAAGTGCTGTCAAGTCACAGCTGATTTATTGCAACCCTGTAGGGTTTTCAAGGCAAGAGACATTCAGAGGTGGTTTGCCATTGCCTGCCTCCAGGTCACAACCCAGGTATTCCTTGGAGGTCTCCCATCCAAATACTAGCCAGGGCTGACCCTGCTTAGCAGTCAAGATCTGACAAGATCGGACTAGCCTAGGCTCTCCAGGTCAGAGCACATATGAATTAGGCCTGAATATTTCACACCACTCCTGCAAATGTTATACCACAGAGTGAGTCTTTCTGTACCTGATTGCCATATACTGGAACAACCCCATAACAGCCTCTAAGGATAGTGCTTCCAGTATCTGGCAGTGCAGCGTCGCAGTTGATGGCATCATAATTTTTTCTGCCCCATACTACAACAGTCTTAATTTTTTGTTTCAGTTTTCCTGTTATCCAAAATGCACTTTACATGATGACTATGGAAGATTGTGGGAAAACAGACAGTTCAGTGACATGGAGTTTATTCTTGGTGAGGTGGGTAATTCAAATTAAAATACCAAACAGAAGTTGTCTTGTTCACTGCCAAAAAGAAGTGATTCTGTTATTTTTAAAGGTCATTTCTTGATGTCTGGATGCTCCAGTCTTTCAAGATTAGGTGGGTGGCCATGCACAAGAGTGCTTTGTGGTGCCTCAGTTATGGAACAGCCTCCCATTTACTTTGAAGCTGATTAACAAATATATTGTTTTCCATTCCATAGCCATTTCTGAGTGATGTATTTTACTACAGCTGCTTGTCTGTTTCAATTTAACTCTAACTGTATGGTTTTTGTATTGTTTCTGTGTTTTATTGATTATATTTTGTATTGTAAACTGTTTGTGGGATAGAAAGGTGGAAAGCAGACTTTCAAATACACACCTCAGCAGATATCTAGCTCAAACTACCTGCTTAAATCCTGTGTAATTTGATGAGAAGAGTGAGGAACAGAAGTTACAAACTGGCTTCTTGTTTGTTGTTGATATAATTGAAGTGATTGATTAATAATAATGCCAGTTGCTGAATGCAGTTTTTGCTGCTTTCTGGTTGAACCTTTTAAAATTATAACTGCGAAAACATCATTTTTATCATAGTATGTTGTCCTGAATTCTTCATCTCAATAGATATTGGGGGTGGCATTGGTGTGTTGCACCTACTCTGTACAAGCGAGAGCTGGAACCCCAAAGGAGGTAGAATCCAGAAGTTGGTGCTGGTAGACTGCTTTATCCTATGGCCTCTTCACCTATGGGGTTTTGCAAGATTCTGTCTCCTCTCTTGTGTTGTTCAACATCTGTGTGAAACTGCGGGATGAGGATGTCCTGGGATTTGGACTACAGTGTGATCAATAAGTGGATGATTCCCAGCTCTTCCTCCCACCCCTCAGGAAATCTCGGAGATGCAGTTGAGATACTGAACCTTCAAAAAAACATGCATATGGTTAAAGTGTCACTTTATCACAGTGGTCTACGCTACTGTGATTTTAAAAGACTGGAAGTGTAGAAATATATTTTACCCGGTGTCGTGTCATCCCTTTTCATTTTTTCCTATCTCTAGTTCCGCAGTCTTAACAGGATTATATTTTAGTCAAGCTTATAAAGTGTTAACATTGGTAGTGCAGTAGTATTAATGGTGTATTGATACAGTAGTATTAATTAGTGAATTAAGATCATGATGAATTTGTACCGGCCAGTCTACATAAGCTACATTACCCACCCAGAACAGCACAGTTGGCCACTGGTGTGGTCATTTAAACTAGTTTAAAGTTCAGGTATTTGATAAATCCTATGAAAGGGCTGGATCCCATGCAGGATTTCTGCAGATGGAAGGGATTTCTGTCCAAAGAGTGTGACTTTTGCACCTTCCATCTCCCTCTGCAACACAAAATGCCCTCTGAAATCCTGCTCCTGCAACAGAAGGGATCCTCAGCAGCAGCATGAGAGTCGACATGATGTATGTGGTTACAGTGTCTTGGGCTAGGATCTGGAGTAACCAGATTTGAGTCCCCACACTGCAATGGAAGCTTGTTGGCTGACCTTAGGTCTATCACACTCTCTAGCTGGAGAGTCAGTGTGGTATAGTGGTTAAGAGCAGCAGACTGTAATCTGGAGAACCGGGTTTGATTCCCCACTCCTCCACATGAAGCCTGCTGAGTGACCTTGGGCCAGTCATGGTTCTCTCAGAACTCTCTCAGCCCCACCTACTTCACAAGGTGCCTGTTGTGGAGAGAGGAAGGGAAAGCGATTGTAAGCCATTTTGAGGCCCTTTAGGGTAGAGAAAAGTGGAGTACAGAAAACAACTCTTCTTCTTCAGCCTAACCTGCCTCACAAGGTAGATAAAATGGGGGAGAGGAGAAGAATGTAAACCACTCTGGGTCTCCATTGGAGAAATAGGCAGGGGATACATGAAGTGAATAAATAACTTTTGGTCCTGATTAAGAAGAAAAATGGGATATAAATAAAAAATGTATAAAATATATTTAAATATGGGGGGTGACTAACAAAACTTGTTTCCCTTTTCTGTCTGTGGAAATCTTTTGCTGGATGCAACCAAAGGTATGTCTAATGAACATTATTTCTAAAGAACTGTGCTCTGTATCTCCGCAGAAGGAAGAAAGGGTTCGAGGGCATATAGCTATCGTCACAGCTCGCTGTAAGTGGCTCCGGAAGAAAATTATACAGGCAAAAGAGAGGTTGAAACAGGTATGGTTTGTGGAAACAGCTTTTAGGCTGATCTGCCAGTTTACCTTTGTGAAATAATTAGTAGTGGTCATCATTGTTGCTCACATGCACATTGAAGATCATTTCTGGAAGCCTGAAATTATCTACAGAATAATTTACATTGCATGATTACTTCTATCTGAGAGGAAGCTGAGAAGTGACAGGTTATTTCTAAGTACCTAGTCGGGCTCTTCGTATGCAATAGTTGAATTTAGTTGACCTTGATAAATACCTATGTCAACAATATTATTTTGGTTTGGGGATATGTTTTGGTTTAGTAGCAGGCATATGCCAAATAAAAACAAGTTCACTTGCTTAGGTAGATGGACATTGTATGTATGTGATTTGGCATGTGAATTGATGGAGTTTTGAGGGCACTCTGTAGAGGTACAGCTGTATGTAGATTTGACTCTCCCTTCTGTCCTGTTTAGAAACCTAAGCAAGACATTGATGAGGAAGGACAAGAATCACCCCAGAAAGAGATGTCTGGCAGCAACATTAAGCTGTGCCACTTGCAGCCGCCGCTGGAGGTGACCATCCGAGAAGCTGAAGCCCAGCCCTTTGAGGTGCTCATGCAGTTCTTGTACACGGACAAAATCAAATACCCACGCAGAGGTAGGACAGCAGATTTGTCTCTTCTGTAATAACAAGTATTGTATATAAGAGCCTCTTCCAGGATGGCTACTTTTATTTGTGTTTTTATTTATTCTACATATACTCTGCACTAAAAACTTCACGGCAGCTAATGAAAGCTTAAAACCATAAGCTATAATTTAAAAAGATCAGATTGCTGAAAGGCTAACTAAGCAGTAAAACAGCAGGGCAGTAAACATTAAATCAATCCAGTGCTCAGGACATAAAAACTAGTAAGCTAGACACCTTGTGAATATTTCTGGAGAGAGAACCCCGTACCGAGTGCCACCGTAGGAAAACATCCTAGTGCTGGTCACCACTTGTCTAACTTCTGAAGGTGGGACCACACACAGCAGGACTTGACTTCCAGAGATTATGTCAGATGATGGGCAGGCATATTGTGCTTGAAATGTGCAAGCACATTGGCATTCATTAATATGTTTATCTGTCAGTTTGCAATATTCAAAATCATCTATACTGAAGTCTGACCTATACCAGATGCTCACAATTCTGAAGCCAAACATAGATTTAAATCCATTGATGCCTATGTTACAAGTAGCCTACCAGCATAATTGGGCAATGATTCATTTTCCCCTAACATTTTTGAAACATTAAGCACAACAGATATTACTTCAGAAATTCATAGCCATCTGCCAAGATAGCTGCCCACGAAGAGAGAGCCTGCCCTCATGTCATAGGAAGTGTTTTTTGCAAGTATATAGGGATTCCACCAAGAGCAGCCCATTCAAGAGGCAGCCACCACAAACATACTATGGCTAATATGAACAAATGGCAAGTTGCCAGCTGTTAAATTTATTTTTTAAAATAGACATGTAGGTCTATTTTTATGCTTCTCTGCTGCTTCTAAAATGACAGCATTGTTCCTCCTTCTCGGTATGGTCATACGCAGCACCTATACAATACTCTATCTGGTGTTGCTCTTTACAGTATCATTCCTTCTTGCCTGGGATTGAGGTGCTTGAAAGACTTTGTGCCTTAACATTACATGGAGTGAGGGAGGGAGGTCAGCATCACAAGTGTTAAGGGAAAAAAGAAGAGAAAAAGTATGAGAGATGATCTTCTCAGAAGAGTATAGCCAGATTGGTATGGCTGTGCCCTATTATTCATGACCCTGTTGTTCACCCTGTTTATAGGATAGGAAATGGATTGGTTTTACCAGGTAGCAATATTTTTAAAGGTTATCCAGCTGTAGGGGTTGTTGACTTTTAGCATCTTGATTGACTGTTGTGGTCTGTGCTAGGTAAATTCACCAGGAAGCTGGGGCCCCGCTTGTCATATGGTAGAGTAGAAATGCCACAGATACCTCCTGTAAGGGTACATCCTTTGTTCCCATTACTTTCTCTTCTCTTCAGTAGAATGCTATTACACTCCATGGTGTTCGCTTATGTAGAAAGTGCCAGTTTGGCATCAGACTTTCCTTCAGAGGATACCAGTACTAGTTAGTAGAACCCCTCACCCGCAAGCAATCAGTGATAGAATCAGGGACCTTAATTCCCTTCTCTGCATGCTGAGATGACTGTCGGTCTCTTAGCAATATGTAGAATGAATTGATGTACTTTTGTTGTTTAGGACATGTGCAAGATGTACTGCTTATTATGGATGTGTATAAATTGGCCCTTCACTTCAAGCTCTCAAGACTTGAACAGCTGTGCCTCCAGTACATTGAGGCATCAGTAGATCTTCAGAATGTGCTGGTTGTATGTGAAAATGCAAACAAACTTCAGCTGGATCAGCTAAAGGTAGGCTTCATGCAAGACAATAAAAGCTGTTCAGAAATCCTAATCCAGATAGATCCAACCTAATTAACATCATATGAGTGCTGCCACACTCATAATCATCAGGAGCAAACAGAGCTGTCCTGTCTCTGTTTTTGTTTTGTTTACTTACCTCTGGCTTCATAAGGGCTAGCAAATTGTGGTAAACAGGATATGCCTGGGAGAGCCCCCAGTGCTTAGTTGGAATGAAAAAAACTTTAATTGTGATAAATGTGGCTCTAGCAGTTGGAGCAGTTTTACTTGGCCATAGTGAATTGATGACAGAGATGCAGCAACTGAAGCACGAAGCTGAAAGCCAGTGTGGAGTAATGGTTATGTTCTGGAAGACCCAGGTTCCAGTCCGTACCTCTACCATGGAAGCTTGCTGGGTAATGCTGGACCAGTCACACACTATCGACCAAGCCTAACCTGCCTCACAGGGTTAATATGAGAATAAAATGGAGGAGAAGGGACACTACTGTGGGTCATTATTGGGGAGAAAGGCTGGGGATAATTGAAGTAAATAAATACAGAGTGTATGTTTAGGTTGTGCCGTTATAAATGGAACCAATGGCAAAGGGCACTGATCCACAGCAAAGAGGTAAGGAAACTCTCATGTAGTTTTCACTAAAAATTTACCTATAATGTTGGTCAAAGCTGTAGAGCCTTTTCATTGGAGAAAGTGCTAGGAATATTTGTTCTTAATTATATTTTCAAACAGCCACTCTAAAGATAGTGTAATACATTACCGCCAAAAGAAAAACTCTTAGCAGTAGGTGAATCATTATGCAAAGTGATACAAGAATTTATCTTTGTACATTAGCACAGGAAATAATTACACATCATTTGGTTACATAATGATGAAATCTTTCTTTAAAAGCAGCAGTATGTCTTCAGGTAAAAGCAGTGGTTTGTTTCTTTTAGGAACACTGCCTGAATTTTGTGGTGAAAGAATCCCATTTTAATCAGGTAATAATGATGAAAGAGTTTGAACACCTTTCCTCATCTTTGATAGTAGAGATAGTACGACGAAAGCAGCAGCCACCTCTTCGAACACATTCTGATCAGCCTCTTGATATTGGTAATGTACCATTCTTCTTTAAGAGACTCTTGCACTTGCATAGACGAGGACCCACGTCTTGCAAGGAATATGTGTTTCTTTGATTAGTTCTGCATGGTTCATTGTTTGTGATGCAGAATGACATTTTTCAAAAGCTGACTTTTGAAATAGCAGAAATGTACCCCAGATCTTATGCCTGTTGCCATAGTCATCTTTAGGGAGATGGAAAGGGAGATATGATAATTGGCTAGCTCTAACTAATGATCAGAGGAAGGACAAGTTAAGTTTTGCAAGTGGACCATGGGGGGATGTAGATTTGGCCTTTTGGCAGGTCTTAATAGATGGTTTGGATGATGGTGTCACTGTTAAAACGAATTATGTAGGTTGAAACACCTATGCTTAACAAATACGGTATTCTTAGGTACTCTCATAGTCTTCCATTGCTTAATGCTGGTAGAGTGCCCTAGTGATGGAAGGTAGAGTGGGTGTTTCTGTTTCCTGCCACCCACTTTACGGGCCTTTGTCTCTTCTGGTAGGAAGAGTGCTCCACCCCAGGTTCTTCCTGTGCTGCAAGAACCGGGGGGGGGGGGGTTAGCTCTTTTCAAGGAAAGTACTTTGTTTAGCTTTGTCTTCCCTTGCCTGAATTAGCTCAGGCAGGGCAAGAAGAGGACTTTATTTAGGATGGCAGTACATTCTTATGCTAGACATGCAACTGACACAGAGTTTTAGAGAGGACACTAGAAGCATGCAGTATGTAGTCCAGCTATAGAAAGGAATAAGAGACAGATGCCAAAAATGTTGGGACACTCTATACCTAATACCCCTGAATATATATTACTTAATTTTTGGCCTGATCAATCTCTCTCAAGCTATAAAACTGAATTAGCCTCTTTAATGCTTATAGCAGCTAAAATTTTGTTGGCCCCAAATTGGAGATTAAACAAAATACCGTTGAAACAATGGTTTTCTAAAATATGGGACATTGCTGTAATGGACAAAATTGCAATGCAGCTGGTTGTGGCTGAAACAACTACAAATAAATATGATTTTGTTGAGAAATGGTTTCCTTTCTTTGAATTTGTTAATTCTAACCAAAATGGTATATATATGTTGCCAAAGAAATATATGGATTTTGTATTTTATTAACTATGGTTATACCTTTTCTCCTATTGTAACTACATAATGTGTATTGGTGATCTATCAGTTTGATAATATTGTTTTTGTCATTAATATTTTAAATGTAATTATTATATTAAAAAAAATAAAAAACTTTTTGTTTAAAAAAAGAGAGAGACAGATGCCACAAAAACTGGCTAACCAATGAGCAGGAAGAGGCATTTTCTCTGGCCCAGTGAGGCTTAGCATCTGGGAGAGTCATGGAAGAGTGTAGCCATCCCAGTCATTAGCCCACAAGTTAGGGAACCAAGGCTGGACTTGGAGTGAGTGGCTGCTCTGACCAGGAACAGGAAGTTGCAGAAAGAAATGTCTGTTCATCCTGGGAGGCTGTTAGTGGTACTCCTGAAACCTCTGAGGTTCATGAGGGCTGTGAGGCAATGGGGAGAATTCATATTTGGATATTCCCTCTCACAGTGACCTGAATGAAGCTCTGATGTCTAGCAGTATCTTCCTCTGTATTAGAAGAATGGCACCTGCCATTTGGGACTTGCAAAGCCTTCTTAGAAAAAGGCCCTGTGGACAAATGGTAGGTTCCTCAACCCCTGGATGTCCCCTAGTTGAAAAGTTGTGCCATTATTGACAGGCTTCTAATTTTTTTCTCAGTGGGTTGAAAGGACCTCATGGGGGAAGGAAAGCAAAAGATAAGGCATCTGATAGAGGCTTCCCAATCTTCCTTTGTTTCCGCTGCCAGCTCTGGAAGAAAAATTAAGCACTTTAACTGCTGAAAGAAAGATGCACAAATCACACAACCTTGGTCCTTAGGGGACCCTAGGGGAAACTCTTCAGATCCTTACAGAGATGGAAGGGGAGTTGGAGGCACAGTCTCTCAGCATTGTTGTTTGCTAGCTGCCGGAGTCTTGAGCTCAAGAGAAGGACCTCAGAAAAGGCCCCCCCAGATTTTATGTCTTTTGTGCATGTTGTGTGAAACAGGAAAAGGACAACCTCTATAATACCCCTATACTATTTGCGAATAATCTTTTCAAATTTGTGTGATTTCTTTAACATTACTCATCATGTGTTTGGGATTAAAGGAATCTTACCCTAAGAGATGTAATTTATTGTGTTGTCTGCTAAACTTTCCCCTAGACATTAACTATCTAAGTGTTTCAGCCACATGTTAATGTTACAGTAATCCATATCTGCATGTTACTTATTTATCTAAATACTCTTGTTCAGGAACATCATTGATTCAGGACATGAAAGCTTATCTAGAAGGTGCTGGACTTGAGTTCTGCGATATAATATTACTCTTAGATGGTCAGCCAAGGGCTGCTCATAAAGCTATTCTTGCAGCTCGCTCCAGGTACGTCTACTTACATTAGTAATTCACTGATACAGCATGATGTTAGAGATTGTTGGAGCGCTTTCCCCCTCATCTCTCTGAGTGGTGAGAATAAATGTTTTACGTAGTTCATCTCTGCATGCCCCCACACACCAATGACCTCTGATTGCATGTAGAGGTGAACACCCAGACTGAGGGAGTGGGCAATCGAAAACACAGTTGGAAGCAGTTTCAGTATCCAGTGTCAAGGGATATCCTGTGTTGAAATAAGGACTGAATCTTCCAGTGTCAAGGTTCCTTTTTTGTATATAGTGAATGGCTAGAGAAAAAGTGTATGAACCCAGACAGCGTCTGATCTCATCAGGCAGAGAATTGGAGGGGGGGAGCAAGAAATTATGTCAATCAATCCTGGAGAAAGGTATCTTTATGTAATAATGGGTTAGACTACTTTTATTGATTTAGTTTAAATTTGATGTGTTGGATCCTGCTACCTTTGTAGCTTACTCTTGCCAAATTCTCTTTCTTACTACAGCTTCCATCCCATGTGGGTTTTGTCAATGCATGTCCCATGGATCCCCAACGTAGCCTTTTTTTTGGGGTGGTCAAAGGAGACCCCTCATCATCACAAAAGCTGGTTGCATTAAAGGCAATGTAGTTATGAAATAATGACATTTAAACAAACAAGACCAGAATTACTACAATGATGCTAATGTTAACAGTTTATTGTACAAGATACAGTATGCTAAATCAGTGGATTTCAGCCCCAAGGTTGTGATCCTCAGTTTGCTTGTGGAGGACCACCAGCTGGATAGGCAGGCCTCTCTAGAAGTGCAAGCTTTTGCTGCATTTTTGAAGGACCTGCTTGCTAGTTCATATGCTTAGGACACCACACCTGCCTCTCTTTGCACACATGCTAGCAGCAGAATGGTACATGAGGTCAGTCAGCAATAGAAAGGATTTTTTTTAGCCCAGGTAGATCCAGATTTTTGCTCTTGCAAAAGTTCTCCTTTGCCTTCTCTCTTCCTCCTGTCTGGCCCAGTCACTCCACCCCCACCCCCACCAGTCAGTCCTCCAGTGCTCCACATGGATTTGCTGCATGCTGCCCCCCACTGGTGAGGTCATAGCCCCTGTTTTACTTCTTTTCTGTCACATGATTGTAATGTCATTTGCTTGCAGTATTTTCCATGCTACCACCTGGGGATTAAAGGTTGGTTCAGAGTCAGGAAAGTTAATAAAATATTTACAATACTGTTAAAATGACATTTTGCTCTGAAAATATTTATTAAAACATTGCTGTTGAGAAATTTGAATGTTGGCTAATTAATTTGATGACTTTTTAAAAATGTCTTTAGAAATGCCCTAGCTGTATGATGCTTCTGTGTCCACTCTTAGCTTGCTGGATAACAAATCTGTGATGCAGTTATGTAAAAACTACACACAGGTCGAAAATCCAGTTGATTTACCATGTTTCCTCTTGTATCTCCACATTTGTGTTTTCCCAGTTACTTTGAAGCCATGTTCCGTTCTTTTATGCCAGAAGATGGGCAGGTTAATATTTCTATAGGAGAAATGGTTCCAAGCAAACAAGCATTTGAGTCTATGCTAAGATATATTTACTATGGTGAAGTGAATATGCCTCCTGAAGATTCCCTGTATCCTTTATCTTGTCTGTGTAAACATATACTTATTGAATGGTAGCATTTCCAGTTCCTTTTTCTCAGGTATAAGTGTACAAAATCACATGCTGTTTAGGTGAATCACTAGTTCCTGGGCAATTAATCCATTGTGCATTCAGTGTAACGGCTTGATGAGTGTAAGAGAGGTTACAGAAAAGGGATGTCTCTGCATATTCAAAGAGAAATAATATTGTACATTATTAAGAGACCTTCTTTGTGAATTCCTAACGCTCCCATGCATTTTTTGCTCTACTTTCAGCTTGTATAGCTTAAGAGTTGGAGACTCATGTGTTGCTTGCTTTATTAGTTCTCACTTTAAGAAAATACTCAAAGGAGATAATTTGCCTACCTCTTTGTGTAGCTTCTGGTTTTCTGTCCTGGGGCAAAGCTCTTCAGGCAGACAAAGAGAGAATTGGATCCTTTCCACCAACACAAGAAGCCTTCTTGTAGCAGTCTAGCAGTTTCCTTCTTATTGCAGTCACTTGTATTTTGTCCATATCTAGCAGTTTCCTTCTTATTGCAGTCACTGGTATTTTGGGTCACTCAAGCACTAGCATTGCTCACAGATGGCTACTGGGCAAGCTTCTTCAGTGCCTTCCACTATTGGAACATAGGATCCAACCTGTACTGCTTAGGACTCGATGTGTTGCTAATTTACCCAAAGAACTGATAATCTTCAAGGACATTGTGTGGGTTTTTTTGTTTTGCTTACAATGTCTTTTTCCAGAATGTTTGAGTTCACAGAAAATTAGGCAACAGCTGCTGCATATATAGCATGGTTGAAGCAGCAGCAGTGTGCATGGCCCAAATCCAAAAAAAACTTTAAAGGAGGCAGCCAGCTGCAATTATAATGAGGATACATTAGAGAGAAAGCAGACAGAGGTCAAATCTCTGTTCATCCTTATTGCCATTCCATTTATGTTTATGGTACCTTTGTTCCTCACAACTTGAAACATGAATTCTCTTTAACTGGCTTTTTTAAGCTATCTCTTTGCTGCCCCTTATTATTATGGATTCTACAATAACCGTCTGCAAGCATATTGTAAGCAGAACCTGGAAATGAATGTTACAGTGGAAAATGTACTCCAGGTAATTGTTACCACTGAATCAGTTTGGAACTAATTGTAATTAGTCCCCTAAAAGATTTTTTTGCTATGAGAGATTGTCAAAAAGCCCATAAGTTTTTCTACAGAAGGTTTATAAGATGAGTTCACATTCCCAGACAAAATTATGACTGAAGGAAGTCAGTGCACTCCTTCCTATTAAAAAATGTGTCAAAGTCCCTGTGAAATCATTTGTATCTAAGGAAACATACTTCGCTGTGAAGATAAAAGTATGCTACAAAATACCTATACCTGTTAGTTTGCGGGGTGATGGTGGAATATTGTTACTTGTAAAGACGTAGCACAATGTTCAAATTAAGAACAGATATTTATCACATGAAATGTTATATTGGGGAAACCTCAGAAATCACAAGGGTGTTCTCAAAAATGTTGATCCTTCCCCTATACCACAAAAAGACAAAAAAGGAGTGATGTTGTGAATTCAGAAGAATAAACTATTTTATGTTCCTTCTTTATGGTGGCTCTATGTTAACACCACTGGGCTTCATGCCTGCTCAAATCTTGATTCAGAACATTCTAGAATTACTCTTTTAGGTGTGGAATCTTGCTGTCCACACCCATGTGCCAACACATATGCGCAGAGGGGAGTTGCAGCTTCATAGTTGGTTCTCTTGTCTATCACAGTAGAAACATCAATTGGGAACATTCTCAGAGATTCTGCTATGAGTTAGCAAACTTCTTTCTTTCCCCTTTGAAGTGGGAATTTTACTTTTTGTTGGGTCATGAGCCTTTGGCATAGAGAACCACCTTCAAAAGATGTTGACAGTGTTGTGGAAAATTATCCTTCACAAACAGCTGTGACTGATGCCAAACCCAACAGCAGCTACACTGCAAATATGGTGCCTCTGCCTCAAACCCCCTCCCCCCCACGTCACTGAATATACCCTAGGAGATTTGCCATTGACTATAATGGCCCCATAGAGCCAAAAAAAAATCATGATTCTCATCGGTTAGCTGAATCAGATCAGAGAATCTGATTTCGCTTAACCATGATTTGGGTATTCATTTGGTTCAGTCAAATGCACATCCCTAACTAAGACTCCATCCTCCTCTGCTAGAGATATAAAAGTAATGCAGTCAGACAGCATAATACATCCAGTGAACAGATCACCAAAGTGCAGAACTAGAAAACAACGCAAACAACAAAGTAAAGCAAGCTATAAACAATGAAGAAAGTGTATTATAAAGGTAGAAGACAATGCAGTAAAAGCAAGATGATAGCTACATCAGTTATAGTAAGTAACTACAGCCTTCTGCAATCCCATTCCTTTATAAAGGTGTGCTCCTGAACAGTTCTATTCTACTAAGTTTTAATTCCTTTATGAAAATGCCTTCCTGAACATTTCTGTTTTGCACATTCTGTGGAATGACAGAAGTGTGGAAGCCTTCTTGACCTCCTCAGGCAGGCCATTCCACAAGGCTGGAGCTACTACAGATAATGCATATGAATGGGCAGTTGCCAATCTTACCCATTTCCGGCATGACACCTTCAGAAGGTGGTCCTGGAGATATATTGATCCAAAGCAGTTAGATAATGCATATGAATGGGCAGTTGCCAGTCTTACTCATTTCCAGCATGACACCTTCAGAAGGTGCTCCTGCAGATATATTGATCCAAAGCAGTTAAGGGCTCTCTAGCTGATAAGCAGTACACTAAGTTGAACCTGATAACTGATCAGTACCCAATGGGGTTTATGCAGAATGAGTGTGACATGCATGTTTCACCTGCTATCTAATAGTAACTTGGCTGCAGCGTTCTGTACCAACTGGAGTTTCCAACTTTAAGGCCATATCCATGCACTGCTTTTTCAAAAGGAGGTTGATGGAAAAATGAAGAGCTATTCAGTGCATAGGTGAAGGGGGTTATGCATCCGTCTGCAGATGTATAAAACCTTGTATGCACCTAAAGGGACTACTTGATTCTTTTAATCATACTTGGAGAGCATAAAGAGAACCCTGATGGATCAGAGCACTGCCCTGTTTCCAGTACAATTCCTGCATTGTTGTCACTAGGTTTACTTGTATTCAGAAATCTACCACATCTGAATGTTAATATTCCATATAATTATTATGACTAATCACTGTTGAAAAGCCCAAGAATTTGTCTGGTCATCTTTTAAAGCCACCCAAGCCAGCCAGCTTCATCATATCTTGTGCCAGTTATGCCCTTGGCTTGATTTTTAATGTATGTAGGGTAGCACTTCCTTTCTTCTGACACAGGTCCTTAACTTGCCTGGCTCCATATCTCTTTTTTGAACCATCACTGCTGAGGCTATCTCATGGTCACAGAATTATGATACTCTTGCAAAACTACCTCTAAATATATAGTTTTGGCTAGCTCCCACCACTCTAGTCTCCTGTGCTGATTTCCTTACAAGAAATTCACTTTTAAGTAGTAAACCATGCAATGTATTGTATAAATTGTAATATGACCACACAAGTAAAGCATTTTATAGATGGTGCATACAAGCAGAGAAACATAGCCGATCTCTGAGGGATGTTTCACACATCTTACAGGATAAATCCAGGTTTGCCAGTGGTACAGGTAAAAGTTTTATGAAAATACGCACATAAAACATACATTGCATGTTTGAAGAGCCAGGTCCTTCGTATGCATTGATCTAGAGCTATTATAACATCCTAAAAGACGAGGAGTTTCCCCAAATGTTTTCTAACAAGGACCATAAAGTTAAAAAAAATCACAGAGATGCCTAATCCATGCTTCCCATTCAATGCAATAGTCTTTAAAGCCTGTTCTTACTGATTTAAGTTTTTACTTAGTAAAAACGTACACTTTTTTTTGTGTTTCAGATTTTAGAGGCCGCTGACAAGACCCAGGCTCTGGATATGAAGAGACATTGCCTGCATATCATTGTTCACCAGTTCACCAAGGTTGGTTGGATGTTTTCTGGGGTTCTGGGCATCTGCTGTCCCCTTTCACTGCCATGGCTGAAAACAGCTTAAGGTAGCCCTCCATTTCATTCTTGTTCCACCCTTTGGGCTGTATGCTATGCTTTGTAACCTACCTTTAATAGTAATAGAGTTGATGAGACTTTTTTTTTTAAGTATCACTATTGCCTTTCAAAGTTTTTCAGTGACTATTACCTGTTCTGTGGTTTTCGTTTCAATATTGATTGTTGTGTGTAACATGTTTCTGTGTATGATATTTATTAGTCATGTACCATACAACATTTTTCCTATCGTGGATATAAATAAAGCTTACGCTTTCTGTTTAAATTGTAAATTTGGTAATTCCATTATTGGCTAGAATCCAGAAAACGGTATAAGTCCAAGAAAAACAAGTCTAAAGCCTCCTCAGACACCAGTTCTCCCCTATATTCCATTGCATGGAGGAAACTTGTGAGGTCATTGAAAAACATAAAGAATTTTATTACACTTTTACAAACTTATTTTGCAAAACTAGCTAGGTAAAGAAAGATATAACACTGTAACAACAGAAAGGACTGTTTAGAAGTGCCCCTTCTGCATTCCTTGGTTCTACATAGATTGGCTGGCACATATGATGTCACCAAGAAAACTCTCCTCTATCCACAGAGCAGTTTTGCATTTCTGACAATTCTGCAATTCTGCAATTCTGACAATTGATCCACTAAAAACACATGTGGTGCTTGAAAAGTTAAAAGTGGATCAGACAGCCTGCTTTACCATGGCCGGGAATGACTGGTAAACCAGTGTTTGTTTTATTGACATGTGCCTAATTTCAGTTGCAAAGCTATGGCTTGCCCAAGGTCATCCAGCAGCTGCAAGTGGAGGAGTATTTTGATGTCTTTTGTGCAGTCTTTTTATGTCTCCTTTTTCAGAACTGGAATGGAGATTGAGTGTTTCTAGTCTGTGGACCATTGTTTTGTTTTTCATATTTGTTGGCATATTCTTGTTACAATTTTAATGGATTCTGTTTCAGTGGCTTGAAATAGCTCTATTGATATCCTGTCTGCTCCCAATTTCTTTAAGTGCAGCTTTCACTTCACTTTCTAAAATTGCAGGTTCTTCCTCAAAAGATTCTTCTTGGAAGGAATCTGTCATCCTCTCATCTCTTCTAGATAGTTCTTCAGTGTAGTGTTCCCATCTTTTATTTTGTCCTGTTCAGTTATCTTTCAGTATGTCCAACCATGCTTTAAAGTTTCCCTCAAATCCTTGGATCTTGTGGAACAGATGTCTTGTTCTTCCTTTTTTGTTGTTCTCGTCTATTTCTTTTCCCTGGTTATTGTAGTTGTTCTCTTTGTCTCTACATGCCAGTTGCTAGAAGGCTGCATTTACACTTCTGATTCTATTTCTTTCACCTTTTACTTTTGCTTCTCATCTGTCTTTAGCAATTTTAACAGTTTCATCAGTCATCAAGGCTTTTCATTTCTTTTGGCTACAGGAATAGTCTCTGCATGTTCTTCCTTGATAATATCTTTGATTCAACCCATAGTTCTTGTTCCTGTTCATTTGAACTGTTCTTTACATGGTCTTTAAACTCTTTAGGAGTTTGTTAAGATTGTATTTTAGCACTATGAATGTTTTGGTGGTTTTCTTCAGCTTTATTATAATTTTTAATATTAACAAATCTTGGTCTGTACCACAGTCAGCTCCTGGTCTTGTTTTAGCAGAGAAAATAGAGCTTCTCCATCTTCTGGTTTGATTATGTCTATGAGTTGCTCTCTGGCTTCATTTCATGCTCCTTTCCCAAATTTTCTGACAGTATTTGGTTCTACTCTTTTGTGTTGCTGTCACCTATGTTTAGATGTGTGAGCAATTTCTTCCTGGTCACTTGCTTTCAATTTCTTCCTCTTCAGCATCTCTAGCTGGGGTGTAAATTTAAATGATAATTAGATTGATAGACTTTCCATGAAGTCTGGTTGACATTATTCAGTCAGAATTCACATTATAGCCCCTTACTACTTGTGCTACATTTTGCCTCACTGTTAGATCAACTCTGTTTTTTCTGGGTTTGTCATTTCTCAAGTAAACTATTTTGTAATTTTCTGACTGAAAATGTCCTAATCCAGTTCACTTTAGCTCACTCACTCTCGGGATCACAATGTTTAAACGTTCCATTTCTCGTTTTATGATTTCAAACTTACCTTAATTCATACTTCTCATGTTCCATGTTTCTATTATATGTATTGAGCAGTTTTGGAGTTTCCTTTTGCATCCATTCATTTCAACAACTGAACATCCTTTCGGCTTTAATCCAGTTGCATCATTAAGAACAGCGCTACTCATACTTATCCTCTGTTCTTCCTCAGTAGCTGATTGAGTACTATCTGACCTGGGAGTCCTGTCTTCCAGAGCTATATGTTTTTTCTGTTTTGAATTGTCTTATCACAGGGTTTTCAAGGTATGAGATGATCAGAAGTGATTTGCCTTTGCAGCCTTCTGCTCAGGGCTAATTGGGGTTAGATGAAATGTTACTGCCATTGTCTGTGATAGATCTTCCACATGTGTCACCTTCCACTATTACTGTTGGCCAGTAGCTACCCTTCAAGTATTTCTGCACCTCATCACCACTGGAACAGTCTGTTCTCTTTTGCTGATGTGGCCATTGACTCCTGTGGAGGGGATAAATCTTAGTCTGGTGTCTCAGCTGTGACCATTCCACCTTGAGTGATTTCGCTTGGAGTTTAGCCTCTTGACAGAGTGTAAACTCCTACCAGTATTGCTCTCGGCTTCTCTGACACACACAAACCCCCTCACTATGTTCAGGTGTGCATTCAAGAGCGGAAACTGGGACAACTCCAATATAACAATTTTTTGCTGTCTCCTTGCATGACAGAATTCTACTAATGTTAACCACTCTCTTCTAACCTCTGTTGCCTCCTTTAGCCAAATGTGTGTACTGAGAACATCATAGATTTCTGAATTAGAAATTTTATATAAATTTTATATATGAGTAAGTAAACTTGCTAGATATATACATTGGTGAATGAAAAAACAGGTTGCTTACCTGTAACTGATGATCTTCGAGTGGTCATCTGTGCATTCACACCCATGGGATCTAGTGCACACGCGCTGGATCAATCGGTGCTGTAGCAAGCTCTTTTAATGGATTTTTGCGCCCAGTCCCTCGGGCATGCGCAGGAACCCCACCACGTATGCCCAGAGGGGTGGGCGCAGACATCCCGCCAGTTCCTTTAAACTGCCGCAAATCAACCCCTATTCAAAAATGTAGAAGCTGATCGCAGCGGGGAAGGCGGGCGGGTGGTGTGAATGCACAGATGACCACTCGAAGATCACCAGTTACTGGTAAGCAACCTGCTTATCTTCAGCGTGGTCTCTGTGCTTCACACCCATGGGAGATTAGCGAGCAGTGGCCTACCTGGAGGAGGGTGCTGGCAGGTTCTTTATTGCGTAGCCGAAGACAGAATGTGATGTCCCATGCTGGTATTGGTGTTTGTACGGACATCTAGGGCGTAGTGCCTGATGAAGGTGTTAGGCGTGGCCCAATAGTTGGGTGTGTTCTACTGAGGTAGAACAGGAGAGCCCGCTTCACATCTAAAATGTGTAATAGTTTGTCTTCCGGTGATGTTGGATTTGGGAAAAAATCCGGGAGGAAGATCTTCGCCTGCAGGTGGAACTCTGACACC